ATCTCAGCGCGCCGCGCGGGACGGACCAAACCGACCCGCGCTCGTGCGGGTCGGATTGATCCGACCCGTGCCGGCGCGGGTCGGAATGATCCGACCCGCGCTTGCGCGGGTCGGAATCAACCGACCCGCGGCGGCGCGGGTCGGTTCCATCCGACCCTCGCAAGCGCGGGTCAGACTTGTCCTGCGCGCACTGTTTCGTCCCGGTTCGGTTTTTGATGGTTTTTTCTCGAGATTTGTTGGTTCCTGAGCATCCAAACTGACTTGATACCATCTACAAACGTGGTTAGGCTGTTATTGACTAAAGATATCCAAATAACCGCTTCCGAAGCCCTATAAATACAAGCCTAGGGCCTCCTTTCAGCGGGGGCGATTGATTATCAAGACGAGGAGGTGCTGCCGGATTGTGGAGTCAAAGGAGCACGAATTTCAGCGAGGGTTGACAGATCTTGGCGAGTTCTTCGGCATAAAGAAGGAGAGTTCGAGAGATCCGACGCCCGTTCCCGTCCGTCCCTTGAGATTAGGCTTGGTCTTAATCTCGAGAAGAGCCCTGATTTCGCTTGGTCGATTTCAGCGCTTCAAATCAAATACTTCCTCGGCGAAGGCGAAGCTCTGCCAAATTTTTCATCAACCGGATCCAGATCTAAGGCGGTCCACGGATAAACCCCGGCACAGGCAAAGATCCCACGCAAGCAGAAGACCGCAGAAGACCGATAAACGATCTCTGCGTTTGTTTTGACGAGAGTTGTAACTTTTGTTTTCATTGTGTAAAGATCTTATAAAAAGATTATCTTTTTTTGTTTTCATTGTAACGACTAAAGTTGTAATGAATACCGCAATGAATACATCAATTTTCGACGCAAACAGTGTAGAGTTGTTAGATCTGGTGGAGCTGCTTCAGATTTTGATTGGCGTCGGATATTGGGCTACCCAGCACTTGGTCACATCGCTAATGTGAGATTGGATCCGATTGCGCATTTGGGATTCAGGAGTTCATTCGGCTATCAGCGGGGAGCTTCTGAGTTTGGTCTGAGCAGGTTTGTCACTTTGGACTCTCGGCAGGTGGAGAGTATTGATCAGGTCAGAGGGATATCGCAGCGGGTGGAGGTTGATGCTACTCCACATTGGGTGGGGATTTCCCCACATACTCCAGGTCATTCTGCATTGGTTGGGATTCCAGCTGAGGTGGCACAGCGTGGGAGTCATTTATTTATGAGTGCAGATGATGAGGTAGTTGATATGGATGCAGCTGATGGATATGTTTTGGATACGGCCATTCTTTCATCTCAGGAGGAGGTGTTGGATTGTTTTCAGATTGGGGTCGTTTATGATGTTATCAGCCACATGTTGGATTGAGGGCCTTTGGAGGCCATTGGGTGAACTACGTGAAGGCTTGATTCCTTGGAGAGGATACGTAGACAGACAGTTTTCTGATGCAGCCGATTTGGTGAGCGACATCGACATTTGGGGTGAGTATTCGCACTCCAATTTGGGTCTCAGCAAGTGAGACATTTGGTGTAGTCGGTGTAGGCTCAGTTCGATTTGGTAAGTAGACACGGTTGGTTTTGGGGTTGAGTGTTCGCACTCTCATTTGGGTCTCGACGTGTTGTGGATGGGGTCCGTTGTCATGAGTCCGTTACCATGGCATACTGGATGCAACAGTTGAGGCATTGGTTTGTTCGGTGTCAGCTCAGATTTGGGAAATATTTGCCGAGGTGGAGATTTGTAGATTTGGCAAAGATTAGGTTCCAGGCTCAGGATTCAGGTTGTCAGGGTGGCGGTCGACCGGCCCGGTCGCCCGCGTTCGAGCTGTTCTGGATGGAGGGCGGTCGACCGGACCGGTCGACCGCCGAAGCGGGTTGAGTCTGGGTCTGTTTTCCAGACCCGTTTCGTTTGGGTTTTCTATAAATACCCAAAGGGGTGTTTCTAGGGTTTGGAGGCTGAAGTTTGAGATCTGAAGGGAGAGTTTTATTGGGCTTCTATTGGTTAGAGCAATTGGTGAGATCAAGAGTGACTTGTTGTGGGTTTTTGGTGAGAGATTTGTAACCCTAGTTGTATCCTCTTGTTTCTAATAGTGAAAACTCCCCTCTCCTTGCCCCGTGGACGTAGGCATCTTGCCGAACCACGTAAAACTGGTGTTAGTGATTGTTTGTGCTTGTTGGTGTGTTGGTTTATCTTTTCTTGGCGATTGGTTTGGATTCTCGAGGCACAACAATGTATGAGTTGAGCAATATTATTGATGCCAATAAATTACTAATGCTGCCCAAATAGAAGCTCAAAAGCCACTTCCCCATGAATCATTATAATCGGTTAAAACTTTTATAATAATTTTCTTAATCCAGAGCTTAATCCTCACACTTAGATCCATTCCTTAATTAACAGGACCATGGGAATGAACATATCACAGAAGATAAAGCATTTATGAGGATAACTGACCATAAGGGGTTGTTTGGTTGTTATTGGTAAATTGTGTATTTATGACAACTTGGAAAGTTATTGTCCACCTCATCAATTTCACTGAGCAACTTTTCTTTGTTTGTTTTTGATTCTATTGGAATCATAAATTGCATGTTTGGTTTGCAAAATGTAACTTTAACTGTTTGTTTGGAAAGTGTAAAAAGTGGTTATTGTGTGGTTCCTACTCAAATGATTCCATTTGCCTAGCCCCCTCATTTCTGACACATATGTCAGCTTTCCTTCAAAATAAGACCATTTTGAAGGCATTTGTGAATCCATGCCACATCAGCATAGTAAATCACTTTACACTATTTTCACAATTATAAACAAACAATTGAAAAGGAGGAAAGCTGACATTGAGTCCCGCTTTTTTACATTTTACATCCTTTTATATAGTAAAAACTTACAACCAAACAGCCCCTAATGTTAAAGCATCTTGGTACAAATTATGTTGATCATATTATGATTACCAAAACTATTTAATGATTTGGATAAGATATGCCATGATAGACAAATAGCTTCTCTCTCCTGCCCGGAAAATGTCAAGAATACAAATTTTTTAGTATTTTCTTAGGCATCCATGCGTGTAAACTAATTATATTGTACCTTACATTGAAAGTTGCACAACATTTTGCAATCTTAAAAACCAAGCCTTTGACAAGAGGGGGGAAAGTCAGAAGATGCTCAGCTTCCCACCACCTGCCTCTGACTCTCCTCTCTTCCCTCTAGGAAACCTCATACTAGTTAGTAATTACTATATATGGTTCATCATGAAATTCTTAACATTTGGTCAAAATAAAGACAACCACGTACTTAAATCAACTTAATCCAAAATCCTCGGGATCTTTAATGTCACAAGAAAGACACGTGACCATGACCGTTCAAGTAGGCATGCCACTGCACATCAGCAAAGCATAAACCCAAAAGCCCCTTTTCCTTAAAGCCATGCACCCTGCACTCACATATATCCTTCTCATGCAGCAAAATAAAGATTAAAAAAAATAAAAAAATAAAAAAATAAAGGGGTAAAAAAAAAACGACAAAAAATTGATTCTCCAACTATATTCCTCACTCTCACACATATATACATCTTCTACTCTCCCCAGTTCTTCTTACCACTACACCAGAATCAATGGCCCCCTCCTCTCTCCTCCTCCTCCTCCTCGCCCTCTCGGCTCTCCTCCCTCTCCTCACACTCTCTCTAGACCCCCAATCAGACTACCTCCTCCTCATGAAACAATCCCTCGTGGGCCCCACCACCTCCCGGTGGGCCCTCCCGCCGCCCTCTTCGCCCTCCTCCTCCTCCTCCGTCTGCGACCTCTCCGGCATCACCTGCGACGAAGCTGGACGTGTCACCGTCATCGACCTCTCCCTTGGCTTTCTCGCTGGCTCTTTACCTCCAAACATATGCGGCTATATTCCAACTCTGCAGGCTCTCAGGCTCAACCATAACAGCCTCCGTGGTGGATTTCCTCTTGGCCTTTTGAACTGTTCCTCTCTCCGAGAACTCAATCTGAACTTCACTGGGCTGTCAGGCCCAATTCCCGACCTCTCACCCCTGAAATCTCTCCGCATTCTCGACCTCGCGAACAACCAGTTCTCTGGGCAATTCCCCCTATCAATTACTAATCTCACCAATCTCGAATTCATTAGTTTCAATGAAAACAGGGGCTTCGACGTTTGGCATTTACCGGAGTCATTCGCTGCACTGACGAAGCTACGAGTGTTGATCCTGTCGAGGACCTCGTTGCGAGGAGAGATCCCTAAATGGATTGGTAACATGACGTCGCTTACTGACCTTGAACTGTGCGGGAATTCTCACATTGGTAGAATTCCGGCTGCAATCGGTAAGCTTAAGAATTTGAGGTTGCTTGAGCTTTATTATAATCTCTTGACTGGAGAAATCCCCGAAGAGATTGGGAACTTGACGAGCTTAGTAGAATTCGACTGTTCTGTTAACCAATTGACTGGTCGGGTTCCTGAGCAAGTTTGCGCGTTGCCTAATCTCAAATTGTTGCAGTTTTATAACAATCATTTGACTGGGATTCTTCCTCCGGTTCTTGGCATGTACGCCTCCATCTCGATCTCGTCGGTGGCGGAGGCACGGGTAAACTTCTTTATATTCTTGTGCTTGGCAATCAATTCTCTGGAAAATTACCAGAGAATTATGCAAATTGCCCTTCTCTGCTTCGGTTTCGAATCAATAACAATCAGCTGAGCGGTCCAATTCCTGAAGCAATCTTTGGCCTTCCTCGTGCTTCGATCATTGATCTCGGGTATAATAAATTCGAAGGCGTGGTCTCAAAATCCATCGGCAAAGCTAAGAATCTCACGGCATTGTTCTTGCAGAACAATAGGTTTTCTGGCACTCTGCCGGTTGAAATCTCATGGGCAATTAACCTAGTCAAAATTGATATCAGCAACAATATGTTAACGGGCCCAATTCCCTCCGAAATCGGCAATTTGAAAAATCTCAACCAGTTATCTTTACAAGTGAACAGACTCAATTCGTTCATTCCTCAGTCTCTGTCAAACCTGAAATTTCTCAATGTACTTAACCTCTCCAACAATCTTCTGACAGGGGAAATCCCTGAGAGCCTCTGTGGTCTTCTTCCCAATTCTTTAGATTTCTCAAACAATCAACTCTCAGGCCCGGTCCCTCTTCCATTGATCAAAGAGGGACTAATTGACAGTGTTTCTGGTAATCCGGGTCTCTGCGTTCGGGTACACCAGAACAAATCCGACCCGATTCTCCCTCTTTGTCGACAACCCGCACTAAGGAAAAGACTCAACCACATTTGGGTCCTCGGCGTTTCATCAATAATAGCGATCTTCGGCATTCTTTTGTTAGTTAAACGTTGTTGGTGGAGTAACGACAACTCTGAAATTGAGCAGGATAGACTTTCTTCATCTTCTTCCTTCGATGTCACAAGCTTCCATAAATTGAGTTTTGATCAGCACGAGATTGTCGAGGCTCTGATCGACAAGAACATTGTAGGCCATGGAGGATCGGGGACCGTGTACAAGATTGAGCTAAGTAATGGTGAACATGTCGCGGTTAAGAAACTATGGAGCCAGAAATCGAATAAAGATCAGTCTGCAGACCAATTGTATATGAGTCGAGAACTCAGATCAGAGGTAAAGACGCTGGGAAGTATTCGACATAAAAACATTGTGAAGCTCTACTGTTGTTTCTCAAGCTCTGACAGCAACCTTCTTGTTTACGAGTACATGCCCAACGGCAATTTATGGGATGCTCTGCATAAAGAAACCGGATGGAGCTTTTTAGATTGGCCGACGAGGCATCGGATTGCTGTGGGAATCGCTCAGGGGCTCGCTTATCTTCATCATGATCTCTTGTTTCCAATTGTGCACAGAGATGTCAAGACTTCAAACATACTTCTCGATGCCGAGTTTGAGCCTAAGGTTGCTGATTTTGGCGTTGCCAAGGTGTTGCAGGCTGGAAAAGAGAATGATTCTTGCAGTACTACCGTAATTGCTGGGACTTGTGGCTACTTAGCCCCAGGTATTTCGCAATTTCATCGCTTCTATCGATTTTTTTTTGAGTTTTATATGAATAGCAGTCTGTTCAATCTTTTTGACAGAGTATGCATACTCGTCGAGGGCGAGCACAAAATGCGATGTTTACAGCTTCGGAGTAGTTCTGATGGAGATCATTACAGGGAAAAAACCGAGTGAGCCAGAATTCGGCGAGAACAAAGATATTATTCACTGGGTGTCGACAAAGATGGCAGCTGAGGGATGTGGGTGTGAAGTTTTAGACAAACGATTATCGTGGAGTCCGTTCAAGGAGGAGATGCTTCACGCCCTGAGGATCGCGCTGAGGTGCACGTGCACCATGCCTGCGATGCGCCCATCAATGAACGAGGTGGTTCAGTTGCTGGTCGAAGGCGATCATTGCAAGTCGGATTCCGGCGGCTCATCGTTCAAGCTCAGGGAATCATCATCATTCAAGATTAAACAATCGCCGGCTATTAAATCTAAAATAGGTGACGTAGATATGATTAGAGAAAAGACTTTAGTAGGCGCTAAGCAACCTAGTTAGCTCAGTTTGAATATGTTAATATGGATTAACTTAGTAATTAGTATGGTATACAGTATTCTACTTTATTAAGGAGGACGAAATTAAAAAAAGGAGAATTTGGAGCTAGAAAGTTGTAGCTCTCGCAATCACATCGTTTTCTTTTTTTGGGTGGGGATTTTGTTTGGATCTATTAGGTGCAGTGCTTTGTATTTACGCAGCATCTGGTACCTCTGGATGAGCTGCGTACAAATATATATATATATATATATATATATATATCATATCAATTTCTCTCTTTTTATCTTCACTTTAGTTGGTTGATTGATGAGAATGATCCTAAATAAAGACGCAAAAAAAAAGAAAGGCGATGTATAGGCCTGTGGTTGGCCAAGGGTTTGCTTTTTCCCTAAAAGTGGGTTCTTTTTTATCATCTAAATTCTAAAAAGTTCATGTGATTCTGCTCGTGGGCCTCTCTATATATATAAGAAGTGACTAATAAATGTGAAATGTATGGGAGTTTCGTCCAGACGAGAAAAAAACATATGCCGGTAATCTCCTTTTCCAAATTAACCCTTAACATTTTCAAAAGTTTAAAATTAGTCCCCTCAAATCATTCAAATCATTGTTTGGTTTCTCAACTTATAAGTTGCTCCATCCAAAATTAGTCTCTCAAATAATTTACATTGCTATTAGGCCCCCAGTTCTCATAAGTTATTTCGTATTAACCTCTCCACTACCAAGAGTAGGAGTAACAACATATAAAATTGGGATACCAAGTAGTAATTTCAATGCTCTAAGAAGCAAATTTCAAAATATAATATTTTTGTGCCCAGTAACAGTATGCAGAATGTACCTGGTCCAACGAATAGTTTGTTGAGAAAGTAGGGAAAAAACTTTGCATCTTTTATTCTTAATACTTTGAGCTTGACATGTCACAAATTTGAGTGCGATTCTCACTCCTTCATTTTTTTTTAGGGGGGGTTAATTTTAGTAGTAAAAAGCACTAATTCTAAGTGGTTGGAGGGCTTTAACCATACAGAGTGCTTTGCTGGCCACTTAGAAAAAAACTTTATGATAATTATTGCGAAAGGATGTTTGATTGCTCTTTTAATCCCTGTTGTGTATAAAAAAAACATCATGTTGGATGCCACTTTGAGCCGCATTGCATCATCTTGAGTTAGTGCTAGGGGTGGTAAATGATCGAATCGAATCGAATACTAAGGTGTTCATATTTGTATTTGTTTAAAATTATCGAATTCGAATGCGGACTCTAATATTCATATATCTAGTTTTTCGAATTCGAACTCGAATACTTGGTATTTGATAAATATTCATGAATATTCACGAATACTTATCGAATATCAAAGTATATTTATTTTGCTAAAGAGTTTGATTTTCAAATAGTATTAAAATTCATAAATAAAAATTATTTTTTTATAATATATGATGTATATATATTTAAATCAAAATTTTAATTAGAAAACAGATTTAAGATTATTTAAGTCTTAAAATCTATATATAAAACTTAAGTAGAAATGGTAAGTGGGTTAAAAATATGACATCATATGTGCAATAATACAAATAATAAGTTGTGATCAAATTTTAAAAGAATATTTAATAGACAAACGAATCGAATATACATCTGGTTAAATTCTATTCGTTAATAAACTCGAATACTAAAAAATATTTGTTTAGTGATAAATGAACTATCGAATCGAATATGACCGAATAGTTATTCGAACAATTATCGAACCATTTATTAATTATTTGGTTCATTTCCACCCCTAGTTAGTGCTATAGGCTATCAATTTAGCTATGTCCGGGGACAAAATCCCTATACATCTATGGCAGTGGGCTGGCCCATATCAACAGACTTTTGTAAATGGGCCTGTTATAGAGTTATAATATGCTTCTACTTTGTCTTGAGATGATTGATGGTTGTGAATATCTACACTACCTTCTACTTCCTCATTCTTTTGTTTTTCTTTCATCATCCAAAATATATATTGACAATAATCACACGTTAGAAACGAAGGGATGAAAAAACCAACATGGTTTAGCTCTTACATTCATTTCAATTAAAAATAATAATAAATATGAAAAGAGAAAGAAGCTCATTGGGGTGCAAGGATTCTATCAGAATACCCCATAGAATGGAGCGATCTATACTATTCACTGGTGATTAGAGGATTAGTTTGGAAACTATCACTATTTTATTTGAGGGGTAAACCACCCCATTCCTATAGGAATAATTTTCATATGATTCTTAGTGGTTATGGAGCTGCACATTTTTAATAAAACATGTAATAATCATTTATTAATGTTTGGCCTTTTATTGGGTAAGAATTAAACCTTTTTCTGTTAAGAATAATGTTTTCTCTTTTATTCTGTTTGTTCATCTTATTTGTTTACGGGTGGATCATGACATTTTGATTTTGTGTCGTGGAAAGTGTGTGTTTTCCCTATCTTGGGATGTAATCAAAATTTCAATAGAGTTCATTGTATTAAATGGATTTGGGCCTGAAATTATATCTTTACAGACTACTGAGCTATGGGCCTGGCCCAGTATGAGCTCTCTGTCCATAGATTCCTAATGGGCTTAGAGCTAAGGTCCAAAATATAAGAAATCTCGGGTTGGTTGGTTGGTCAGTAACATTTGGCAAATATGCAAGGTGTTCCATCGCTATCTAATATCAGATCATCAGTTCATCACTCAATTATCAATCAATTAATTACATCTTAAAATAGCAGAATAATTAAGTGAAGACAACTTAGGCTTGGTTTGGTTGGAGCGGATGTGGGTTTGAGGCGAGGACAAGATTGAAAATCTTATTTGGTGTAGGGTTTTTGAGGGGAAGGTGAGGTGAAGAGAGAGTGAGAGAGAAACTTAATGAAGTTACAGAGAGACAATTATTAAATTTGTAACAGGAAATAACTCTTTTAAATATTTATCAATTTTTATCAATCCAGTGCGTTGTAATACATAAATAACCAGTTTGTGTTTTAGATGTCTAAATATCAAAAGTTAAAAAAAATACAGTTTAAACTTTGAAAATAAGAGATTATTTTTCTTTGTTCCTCCTGATAATGTTTTAAAATATCACGTTAACAAGTTTGATGAGAAATTTTTTAAATACGGGGTAAAAACCATCTGTAAATAAATATTCAAATTCATCATCTTCTACTAATTTAAAAAGAATATTTTTAAGAATGATAAACTTAATGACGCATTTCCGAGCACGAGCTACGTCATAATTCCAACTATCCCGAGACTACCAAAAGATGAGGATTACGAGATCATAGATTGTCGGATATCATCTTGAGGCGTCTGGCCTTTGTTGTGTTTATCTAAATGGTGTTTGAGGTGGTTAGTGCCGCTCTTATGATGTGCTTGGAAAATCTTGCCGCACAACGTACACTTAGCTTTCTAGGTGAGGATCTTACCGTGTTCATCCTTGGTGACGTCTATCTTCTCGAAAAAATTCCACACATCAAATCTCGACCTTTTAGGAGCTCTTAGTGTAGAATCGTCGCCACCGAATTCGGTATTAATATCGGTAGGGTCGGTAGGAGTAGCTGTAGTAGGAGAACTCATTTCAGGAGTGAGGTTTTGCTCTTCATAATCAGATACAGAAGCCATTTGATTGAAAAATTAGAGAGATAAAACGATTATTAGAGAGTATAAGAGAGTATAAGAGTGTATAAGAGAGAAGTAGATGAGTTTTGAATGAGGAAAACAAATAAAACCTCCTCTATTTATAGATGCGGCCCTTTAGACAAAAATGATCAAAATACCCTCATTTTAACCGTTTTAGGGGCAAAACGGCTAAAATGGCCGTTATGACCGGGCCGGAC